AGAGAGAGAGAGAGAGAGAGAGAGAGAGAGAGAGAGAGAGAGAGAGAGAAACTCGATCAGTTACTAATTGATTTGTAATCCATCTTAACTACTCCAGGAAGACTGTGTTACTAATGCCATTTACTATGTTGATTAACACGTACGTGCTCCTGGCAATAAAATAATATAAAAATAGAACCCTTTTCCCCTCCTGAAATTTGTGTCTCCTTTTTTATGCAATGGAGTTTGGAGGCTGGGAAGAGACTGTGGTGACAAAGGGGGAATATATTCAACGAAGGGGGGCGGCCTCATTACCCCAGTATTCTGATGAAGTCTGAGTAAAAACATTTCTGATCTGGCAAAATCGTAAATCGTGTCTTCCACTTTGCAGCCCACAGGGCCTTGTGTTTGGATGAGGGGTCCACGCTTAGAACACATGGGACCAAATCCATTCAGTGACTCTGACCAGGAGCAGAAAATGGAAATGTTGAAGTGACAGCAGCCATGACCACTCCCTGCTGGGCTGCACTCAGGTAAGGCACGCTTCCTTAAACTGTAATATCTGCCGCAAAGTTCCCTGTATTTTCTCGTTAACGAGGAGAGCGTGGAGTCCGTGTGTACTCACAGATCTATTTGTTCATCGCCTCCGTTTTGTTCCCTGCGGTTTCCAGTGCTCCCAGCGTTAACTGCACCGGTTGTGGCTGCCGTGGGTGTTCATTTAAATGAGGATAAGCATTTTGCAAAGAACGTGGCACACAGGGATACTGGGTTTGGTGCCTGTAGAGAGTATTGCAGGCGCAGAGGTGGTGTGACTTTTGTGTTCGCCGCTGGCCTCCTCCCTCCGGGGCTTCAGCTGAGCAGATTTATTTTCTGTGGCATTTGGTACTGGTTGCTGGCTCACCGTTTCTATGGGGGAAGTGTCACGCTGAAGTCTGTAGGGGTGGCCGACTGTGCCCCTCTTTGACATTATTACTCATTTCTTGAGTGGAGAATGTCATCTAGTGTCAACTTCCCCCATTTTTCAATGTATTGGAGCTGGCCGTATCTTTTCTGTCACTCACAGAAAGTACAGACTTCACAGACTACAGGACGGGGCGGGGGTGGGGGAGGAACACAGGCTCAGGGGGTTGGGCTTCCTTTTCCCTTTCTTTTCAGTATTTCTGTCTTAATGTGAGTCCCTTAACCTGCCCAATGCCGTAAACAGCATGACAGACTTGTTTTGTCCCCGCTTCATGGTGAGAAACCTCTTACTTTAAATGTTTGAGAATCTTGCAGGGCCTTTGGGTCCCGGAAGAATGCATCAAACATAGAGACCCGTTGCTTTCAGTTTCTGCCCGTTACCCCGTGACACCAAGGCACAGGGTAAAACTTCTCAGTTTTGTTTTTATGTGTCCCAAGGTCTCCGTGTCGTTCTGGCATTTTCATGCATGAGAACATTTTCTATCTGCCTTTTATTTGATCTGATACGTTAGCTCAGTGTTTTGGTTAGATTGGGAGAGACTTTGGATGAACTATTCATTTCCTTTCTGCGTGTGGTGGCGAGTCTCATCACAGACTCAAGTTCCCTACGGTGGCGAGGTCAGGTAGCAAATGTTCTTTTGGTCTGCAGCTGTGAGGTCACAGTTAACTGGAGCAAGGTCGTTGGCAGTTTTTAATTTTTCTCTTTTTTCTTCTGATAGTCATCTACTGCACATACGCACTATTGAGTGTTTGCATGTGTGAACACTACGCGTGACACGCTGGAGGCTAAGTCCTTCCACATGCCTGCGAACACCAGATTTCCTTTCGTTGTGTGGCACGTCCCGGGTCTAGAGCGCTGCAGAACACATTTTGGGACAGGCTGTCTAGGACAAAGACTTCATTCATGATTTGGAAAATAAAAATCCTGGAAAGAGGTTTTGCTCTGACTTTCTGTAGTCTACTCAGAAGCTTGTCTAGACTTCGTAGCTTATTTATATGCTGCCTGGGATAGATAGGCCTGCTCAGCAGGGCACACTCAAAAGCCAAGAAGGTCAATAGAGCCTATGCCTGTTTCTACTCTGTGACCCGTTGCCTTCGTCTTCCTGGTGTCTGAGAACAGATCTGAGAGGCAGAGTTGCACGGTGCTGAAGACCGACAGCCTCAGTCCCACTTGGTGCCGAGCGAGAGGAGTGTGCACGTCATGTCGTGTCTTCCTCCAAGGGTTGCTCACCTGTTTTCTTCTCAGCGAAGCTTATTCTAATGGTACTATTCTAAGTGGAAAACTGCACCCTCCTTCCTCCCAACCCCCCGATTCTGCTCCTCCATAGGGCTTATCTTTTGTGTATATTTACTGTTTGTGTATGTGGTTTTTATTTCCCTGATCCCTCTGGGTTATAAATTCCACAAAGGGAAGGACTTTAAAAATATTTTAATTGCTATTTTAATTGCTGAATCCTAAATGCCAATCAATGATCTGGCACAGACTAGATGTTTGCTAAGTAAATGTCCTTGGTTGAATAAATATGTGTGCCCGCAACAACACGTATTTTACAGTTAAGGTCAAGGCACTCTGTTGCTCTGAAATAGCTGATGGTGCCGGCCTTTAGGGCTTTCAGTCTGAGAGCAACTCTAGGATTACCTTCACCACCCTCATCACCTCATTCTGCTCGGGGGTTTTCAAGGGATGTTCCCTACGTACTTACAAAAAAATTCCCGTTCTCATCAGGAAGCAGGATGGATGCCCCGCGAACCCTTAGATGCCAGGGCTGGGTTCATGAGACACGGAGACCTCCATCTTCCTCACGATAAGGAGGTTTAGATGGGCCCAGGCAGGTGTCATCTCCATCCCTTTCATTCCCAGAGCCTTCAGGGCTGTGCACAGGTACAGTTCCAGGTACCAGTGTGGTGGGGATGACTTGATTGTTCTGATCGCTGGGTTTTGTCACCTATCCTCTGTGTGTGAATTCCTAAACTGGGATGCCTTTGGAGTCCGAGGGATGTGCATGGATACCGCAGTCTGTAGAAAGCACATCAATGTCTGTACACCATCCTCACAGGAGACATTAAGCCTAACAGTCTCTAGTCTGCAGTATAGATTTCGTTTTCCTGCGTGCTTGTGAGTCCCCTTGAGAGAAGTCAGTGGGCAGTAAAAATCCCAGCTGGGAAACGGGAATCGCTGGTCCCTGGCAGGGCTCACATGTGGACCAGGCTTGGGACAGCTGACCAATGAGATTGAACGAGTGTCTATTTTGTGTTTTTCATTTCCTCTTATCACCCTCCCATAGCCTTTAAGAGTCAGACAAAGAGAGAGTCTGTGGTCTGAATGACCCCTCAGTTAGTCTAAGCTGAAGTGGGGATACAGGGGAGGAGACCATACAAACAGCGCTCAGCTCAGGATTAGAATAAACCCAGGACAGGCAACAGCTGAACCTGGCTCAGCAACATAATCCACACTCAAGTTGAAAGCCTGGCTCAGAGTTGGCCATAGTGGCTCATGTCTGTAACTCCTAGCTCAAACAGGAGGCTCAGAAGGAGTTTGAGGCCAGTCTGGATTTCATAAAGAATTCCTCGTCGGTCTGTGCTCAATAAGCAAAGCAACACAACAAATCAGGCCAGCTCAGTTGAGTCAAGGGTCTTAGGAAACCAACTCCAAACTTGTCTCCAGCATCTCAGTGCTCCACGTTGGCCTGCTTGGTTAGAGTCTCACTCCCTTCCCAGAGAGCGACAGTCTGACTGCCTGCGGCTTGGAATCAGAATGAGGAAGATGACAACAGTCTGCTGCCTTCAGCATCCACTGAGGACTCTTTCCTCTGTGCTGGGCCAGCCTGCTACACCTGCAGTTGTACCTGCTGTTCATTGAGGGCCAGAAACCTTTGTGCTATTTTTTCAAGGAACAAATGTTATGCCAAGGTGGGGAAAGAAGTGTGGAGAGGATGAAGGGCTTTGGGGATCCAGAACTCCCCTAAAACTGGCACCTCCCGTTCCCAAGAACTTTGTGATGCTGTGATGTTAATTCTCCCCAGGTTTGCCCACTGTCCACGTGAGATTTGGTTCTCAGATACCCGTTTACTCGCGAGCTGTTCATCTCTTTTTAGCATCTGCATTAAGTTGCTTTGGTCTTTTCTCCTCTCCTTCCATTCTGGGGGGTTTGTCTTTTGAACACATCCTTCTCTATAGATATATTTTTAAGGAGTGAAGGAGAGGAACATAGGAAATTTGCCACCTCATCCTGAACCCTTTAAGGAAGTCATGTCATTCTCTAGAACCATCTTGATATTTTTCCAGGAAACCCATCTGTTGATTGGGGGTAGGAGGGATCATATTTCAATTAGTTATATGTCATAATTTAAAATCACTTTGAGTAATGCTTTGTCTCCCTAGGGAATAAGACTAGATGTTCTCTGACCACCTCTCCTTACTCCTGTATTTCTACTTTATATACTATCCATACATCTTGATAAGGAGGTCTTGATAAGAAGGCTTTGGGATCACATTTTCTAGAATCATGTGATATTTGTATTTCTCTGACTGCTGCCTGCCTTGTTGGCAAGGCAAATTTAAGGGTAGCTGGTACCTTCATCTGAATTGATTAGAACCTGTTAGTCCCTGTTGGCTGGACTGGCTTAATTTTGGCTTTCACGGGCCATAATCTCTGGGGTCTCCCCCAGTTACTCCACTTGTCCACCAGTCTACCTCAGTCTCTGCACAATGTTATTGCTAATGTGAAGTCAGTGGGTGGTCTGCTTGATGTTGATTCCTCCCTGATACTCCAAGGGAAGTAAAGGTTGCTCTGAAAGCTGAATTAAGGACATGCTCTCCACATCGAGTTTCTTAATTGTGTGCCCATATGCTACCAATAGGAGTATTCTGCAGATAGCGCAGATGGGACTAGGCTATAGGCAAGTCCTGCTGTCCCCAGTGTTAACTAACTATGAACCTGCTCCACTGTGGACCAAACCCTGGGATGCAGGAAACAGGACCCACATGGTTAACAGTCTTGCTCTCCTGTTGCCCTGATTTTTTTTCTCCTTTTTAAATAAATGATAAAATGGATATTTCCAGGGCCATGTCTTCTGTTTATCTTGGAGCAGACAGCTTCATTGACTGTTTGCCCAGGCTGTGTGTTTCCATCTCTGGGAGTGAGGACCTCAATACAGGTATAATAGTTTGGGAAGACCCTCTTCCTGAACAGTATGACAATGCCTTTTCAATGTCTCTGTTTGTATTTTGGAGGTTATATATTAGATAATTTTTCCTCTTTGCATTCTTTTTATAAAATATCTTGGTCCCTCCTTACTTAAAAAAAATCAAAACAAGTCTGTTGCATTGGGGGGGGAGGGAAAAGAGAAAGGCAAGTAAAATTTTCAAAAATACTGTTTTCTCAGTCCTGATGGGATGATGTGAAATGAGTTTGAAAAGAATTAGAAAGTGTAAATGCCGTGAAACTGTTGGTACTTGGATGGTGTGTTGGAGTAAGGATTATATATACAGAAACTGAGACTTTGGGTTACAGAATTCTAAGGTTTGGGGAGGAAGTTAACTTAGTATTAGCCCTGTGAAGTAGGATCATTGTTTAACCACCTCCATCTGTATGAAGGACTTCAGGTCATTTTCATCCTTCATTCCCCTCTTCCTTTCCCCCTCCTGATGAAACCCCTTCTTTTCAGCAAATACTTCACGCCTGATTTCTGTATGTGACCCATTGAATTTAATTAGGGGTTCTTGTCCCTGTGTGATCGGGAGGCTGTTTCCTGGAACATGGGCAACAACAGCATCTACCCCAATGAGAAAATGGCATTGTCTTTTACCTCCCCTGGCAACTATGAACTGTCAAGATAAACACATCTGCACTGAGTTCATAAGGGCAATGTTGCCTTGCCAGAAAACATTTAAAAATCCCTAATTATATATATGTGTTTATACATATTTATGCATTATATGCATAAATGTATATATAATATTTGTATATTTTAATAAAACATTTATAAGAATTGAAAGTACCAAAACATTAAGATACACTAATGTTGGTTTATGACATTTTGAGTAATTTTATCCTTTCTCCCTCCACAAGAAATCTATACATTTTCTTTACTTACATCTGTTATTGATCAGAAAAAAAATATGATCAAAGGAGAAGAGCAAAATGGTAAAGATATTAAAGGATTGATCTTTTAAAAATATAATTATTTCACTTTCGCTGAAACAATGTGTCAAACAGCCAAGGCTACCATGGTACGGGCAGGCTGAGATGCGGGTGGGCGGAGTGCTGGTGTATCTGGGCTTGCAGCCCCCAATATGCACATCCTAATTATCCCATCAGGCTGCCTCTCCATCCCTGCTTCACCATTGCATTTGAATATGCATACATGTAAAAGTGTTATTTTGTAAGAGCCCAGATTAAAACAAAACATCATGACACTCTCTTGACAGGATAACTGTTGCTGAAGATGAAGTGGAGGTCTCTGCATTCTGTCCACATTCTCCTAAGACGGAGAGTAGGTGCTAGCTCTGGGCTTCACTGGTCACACAGATGGCCCTGGTGAAGCTGGATGGGTCACAGAAGGGATGGGTGTTGTGACAAGAGGCAAAGGTTAGTGGGGTTTGGAGAGAGATAAGGGACGCTACAGGAGTAAAGTAATCAGAATGCATTGTACACATGCGTGGAGTTGCCAAAGAACAAACCTCATTAAAAAGGAATAAAACTATAAGATTTTGTACGTGTTTTCATTTTTATGTGGAATTACTTATTGGTGCATACAGTGTCCACGAGGAGGGTAAAATAAAAAGGAAATTGAAAAACTAAGCAAGGCTTTTCTATTCTTGCTACAAAATTCAAGATTTCTAAAATAATTCAATTCAGTAGCCAGCGAGTAGAGCAGGGATTCTCAACCTGCGGGTCGCGACCCTGACCCTGGTGTCAAAGGACCCTGTCATAGGCGTCACCTAAGCCCATTGGAAAATACATATATTTACACTAAGATTCATAACAGTAGTAAAATTACAGTTATGAAGTAGCAACAAAAATAATGTAATGTTTGAGGGTCACCACAATATGAAAAACTGGATTAAAGGGTAGCAGGCACCATTAGGAAGGTTGAGCACCACAGCTCTACCCTAGAAAATTGCTACTTCTGAAAGTGGCCACATGGTGGCGCAGTGACACCTCACAAAAGTGACTCTCGGCCTCTTCAGACGCAAAAAGCTTAGGATCCTAAAGAAAGGTCTTTAGGACTCCAGGGGGGACCCCCAGAAAGAGAGGAACCGGTCCCATGTGCTTCTGGCTTCCAAGAACAGGCACGGCTGTTTTAATATTTCTGTTAAAAAATGTGGTTGGACTTCTCCCAGAAGCGGTACATGAAACTTTCCCTTCTGGTCTTTTGTGTGAAAGAGACAGCCATATCGTTAATCTTTGCATCGGCTTGGTTTTGTTTTGATTACAAGCGATGAATTTCATTAAGAATCCACAAGTTTTCTGTGTGCTTCTGCACTCTTCATTTCTTTGGCTTGAAATGGGTTCCCTTGAATTGGCTTGAACTGACCCTGCCTCACCTCTCCCCAACCTAAATTCTCTTTTCAGCTGAGTGACGTGTGGTTGTAATCCATGTATTATTCAGCTCCTTGCAGCTTGGGGTTCACCCTCATTTTCTGAATGTCACTGATGAACTTCACACCGCTGAATTGAAGGTGACTTTCTCAGTGTTTATCTGTGTCTCCACCTTACTTTGCTGGCTATGATCTCTCCTGGCGCCCTTCTTACTTAACAATTTTTTTTTTGACATTTATTGTTTCTTAACATGAATGCATGTTTGGTCAGAGTGTGCCCACAGCAGGTGTGGGAAGTCAAAGGCCAGCTTTTACGTGTCCATTCTTGTTTCGTTTTTTGAGATTATAATTGAATTACATGTCTCTCTTTCCTCCCTCTAAACTCCCACATAATCCTCCCCACTCTTCTTCAAATCCATGGTCTTTTTTCATTAACACATGCAATGTATATGAATATATATATATATATATATATATATATTCCTAAAAAAAAGCCTGTCCAGTTTGTATAATATTATTTGCATGTTTTCAGGGTTGGCCTTATGGCACTGGACAACCAGTTGGAGTGCTATTCCCCGAGGTAGACTTCTCTTGCCTTCCTTCCACCATGTGGGCTCCAGGGATCAAACTCAGGTCATCAGACTTGGCTACAAGAGTTATTTCTTACTGAGCCATCTTGCTGCCTCCCCCCCCATCCATCTCTAGCCATTCATCCCCAGCTTTGAGGAGTTTTTCTATTTTCTCTGCTGGTATACTCCAGGGTTCTTTCTATGCTTGCCCCAAAGGTTTTGCTTATCTTTGCGCACTTCTCATGCAGAATCCCGACACTGATATTGTTTGGAGACTATTGGTGCAAGCAGGAGGCAATGCACAGAGCATAACCAAGAAGGACGTTTTAATTTACGTCAGATTTGAGATCTCTATGGAATATGCGAAATTAAAGATTAAACATAAGGTCAAGGTTAAAGTGTGTCATTATTGATCACCACTGCTGCCATCCCCATTTAGTTGCCCAAACCAGAGACAGAGGAGCCATGCAAAACTTATTTGTCTCAACTTTCTGCATCAGGCCAGTCATTAGTTTAGGCCCTGAATGATTTTGAATCTGTCTTTGGAGCCATCGCCATCCGCAGGATTCTGGTCTTTCCTTTCTGGCTTAGAACACTGTTTCCTCCAGTCCCTTTCCCCTGACTTGAGTCCTTAGGTATATTTTCTGTACAATAGAGCAAACACTTCCTCTAAACAAAACCGAATCTTTTAGCATCTTTACTCAAACACTCTGTCGTCCAGATTAGAGTGCTACGTTTGTCGTATCATTTCCCAGATGCCGCTTGCTTTGTTTATGTCTTCTCGTCACTTCTTGCCTCATTTCTCACCAGTTCATCTTGTTTTACACCATTGTCTAATGACACTCAGATGTTTGTTGCTCCTCATGCCTTTCCCACTGTTTTTGTCTCTGGTTTTGCTTATTTCATGCCCTTTGTCTCAAATTCTCTTCCAAGTGTTCTTTGTCTTGAAGTTTTTATAGCTCATCTCTCAATAGTCTCATCCATGGCATCTAAGTTTTCCCTCCAGCTTCTTTTTGTTCTGACTGCTCTCTTATGACCCTTCCACAGAACCATGCTGATATCTGTCCTGTGGGGCTTCCTGTGTGCTAATAGAGTGAGTTGCCTCTGTGTGTCTTGTCTAATAGGCAAGTCTTCCTTCAAAGGAGGGCTCGTAAGTATTCATTTCTTTTATACACCCCTGCTTTGGCACAGGACATAGTGCATAATGGATGTTTAATAAAGTTTTGTTATGTAGAATTTGACATGTTGTGGGCTCAAAGACCTGCTGTGTGACGTCTACTCTGGTAGACTGGATTTGGACTAGGAGGATGAAATAGAAAGCATTTGAATGAGCAAAGTGCGAAGACTCGCGTGGAGGACAGAGAAGCAACAGAGCTAAGCCATCTTCAGGTTTCCAAGCAGATTGGTGGAGCTTTTGAGAGGGGCTGTGGACATGGGGCCCGTCCCTGGGCAGAGGGAAGCTGCAGAGATCCTGAAATAGCGAGATGGCCTTTCCCGAGTGCAGGAAAAGCAGCACAGCATGGGGGACTAGGAGAGCTGAAGTAGGAAGCAGGAGGGACCAGCGAGGTCAGGGATACTTGGTGGACAGGCATCAGGTGAGACAGTCTCAGACCAGCATGGAACTGTGGGAGGAAAGAAGAAAGAGTGACTCTCACTTACTTGCTTCTCAAACACACAAGATCTATTTAAAATAAATAAATAAATAAAATATCAAAACTGGAGAGATGGCTCAGAGGTTAAAAGCATTGGCTGCTCTTCCAGAGGTCCTGGATTCAGAACCCAATATTCACATGGTGGCTCACAATCATCTGTAACTCCAGTTCTAGGGAATCTGATGCCCTCTTCTGACCTCCACTGGCACCAGGCATAGACCTGGGTGCACAGACATACAAGCAGGCAAAGCACCAGAGTACATGACCCAATTTAAAAAATATATAAGAATAAATATTTAAACACACATGATAAAAAGTACCTAGAATGTATGAAAGCTTCCATAGGTTAGAAAGACAAAACTTGAAGCTGGGGAGATAATCCAATTGGTAAAATAGTTCAGCAAAAAGACATTCAGTTCATACCTTAAGTACTGCTGTGAAAAGCTGTGTATAGAGGCATCCACACACATACGATCCCAAAGCTGAGAAGGCAGGGACAGGAGCATTTCTGGGTTTGCTGTTCAGGAGGTCTAGTCAGTTGGGGAACATCAGATGAAATGAGAGATCCTGTATAAAATGAAAAGGAGAAGGGCTTGAAAAGACTCTGGATGTTCTCAAATTGACGGCTGGCCTCCATGTGCCTGAATTCACATGTGTATATAATTTCGTAGTAGGCTTAGAACTCTCTTACTTAAACAAAAGGGGGAGATGTTGCGGGAGCTCCTTCCTCTCCTTCAGCCAATAGCCGCTGAGAGACCAGCCCATTGGGGCGTGGTCTCTCTCTCTTTAAAAAAGCAGCAGCTGTCCTCCACTCTCTCTCTGGCTTCCGGCTCCTAGACTCCTTTCCTGTTCCCGCAGAGGGGCTGTTGTCTAGGACGGTAATCTGTAAGTTTTCTCCCCTTTGAATAAATAACCATTCTATTAATCATAATTCCAAACTGGTGTGGGACTGTTTGTGACTTACGCCTTCATATATACACTTACATATGTACACACACATACACACACAGGAACATCCATACACTGGTAAAAACTAACCACAAAACAAGCAAAAAAAAAAATCCAACTTTACTTAAGAAATCTAAAATAATACGATCTTCATGTTTAGCAAATTGGAAGTTTTGACACTTAAATGCAGTATTCATTGGGAATACAGCTTAGTTGACCGAGTGCTTGTGTGGGAAGCTCTTTGTTCAATTGTTGGCGCCTTGTGAACCAGGAATGATGATGTTGATCTAGCATACATAAGAAGTGGAAGCATGAGGATTAAGAATTTAAGCCTAGCTTCAGCTACATATTGGGTTCAAAACCAAACTAGACTGCACGAGATGCTGTTTAAAAATAAAACAAATTTCATAAAAACACTCTAAGAATTTGACAACATCATATTTTGATCTAGTAACTTCTTGCAAGTTACCTTAAAGGAATAGCTGCTTGGCACCAATATTTAATTATAAACACGTTTATTACCATTTTACTTACCAGCTGTGCAGAGCAGGGCACACACTTCTGCTGAGCTGAATAGTCAGGCATCTGGAACGTTGCCAACCGCGCTGAGTGGTGCTTGACTGCTCCCTCTAAATAGCTCTCAGCAAAGCTGTCAGAGTGGTGCCTGGTGCCTCGTGTTGTGCTCCTGCACAGCTCGTATTTTCATGGTTATTCCTATAGTCTAATCAACGGCATGTATCACTCTCCTTTTACAACTGCACAGCCTCTTCTCTCAGATTCTCAGTGTCATTGCTGCACAGTCTGATTGGTACGGCACAGATTGTCTGCTCATCCCTCTGAGTTTCGTGCACAAATCTTTCACAGTTCCTCAAAGTATTTTGTTTTCCAGTTGACTGATGTTGAATCAAGTATCCTTACTCTCCTTTCAAGGCTTTTAAAGCAACAATTGACTGTGTTTCCAAAAATGCATGGAC